TAGTCAAGGATGCTAGTGTTTAACAGAACAGATACTATGAGAAAAGAGAAAGTGCAATAAAAAAATGGCCATTAAAATATAAATTTAGAACCTAATTATAGTCTTTATTACATTTTATTTCTTTTTATTACTATTAATATTATCTTTCAACGTGTTTTTCTAGTTCTGTTTTTTGTGTAACTCATAAATATATTTGCAAGATATAGGACTCGACAAATCTTTTTTGTTAGAAAATTTGAATGGTATGATGTTTTTAAATAACGTTATTAAATATTTAAAAATAGCTCCAAGAAAATCAAAATAAAGGATAAAAACTCAAAAAAAAAAAAAAACACGCCTCAACCCCGCCTAAGCCCGCCTAGGCTTCAAAGGATTAAGGCTTGACCGTGCCGCCTCGGCACGCCTTACGCCTTTTAGACATTGGGTATATCCCATTTTGAAAGCTCAAAATCGATATTGGCACAAATATGAACGACTACTTAATTTGCAGCATGTAAGAACAAGTCACACAAAGATTAGACCCGTGCACTTTGTATACATATTAGTAGTAATGAATAAATGTGCACTCTGTGTACATGATAATCCTAGTATTCTAATAGTAATTATTAATTATAATAAATGGTATTATATCCGTCCCATAATATAAGATACATATCAGTTTGGTGTAGGATTTAAGAAAACAAAGTATAAAGTTATCATTTTACAAATTTAACTTACAAAAAGTAAGAAAAGGAAATATGATTCATAAAAAGTAAAGATTGAAATGATATATAAAGTGAAGAAGTGTCCCATTTAGAAAAGTAATCATATTTGTAAATAACACAAAAGTGTATCTTACAAAATGGGACGAAGGAGTAAATGGAAAATGATAATAAATGATTAATGATCAAATGACATAGAAAATAAGCATTGTAAGAATACCGCGAAAACGGAAAAAGATGTGATCCCATCTCCGAGAACCCTTTGGCATTCGGTCTTGATGAACACAAAGTCCTCACCTTTCTTGCTCTGGCTCGCTTCCCCGTGACAAATCTCTGGGTTTTCGATCTTCTCAGACGCAGATTCTCGCCTCAGCAATACCGACAATGGCACCGTCTGACTCTCCCCTCCTTTTGACATCTTCGACCCGATCAAAATCAAAACTTTCTCGATGCCCAGAGATTAATCATCCATTTTTCAATGCCATCCTATCAAATATAAAGAAATAAATAAATGCCAATGAAAATAATATCATTATACGAAAATTTAATTTAATATATCAAGACAAATATGATACCAATGATGGATTCATCAGGATCTTTCTGGTATATAGAATGCGGATGTATCCTCAATTATCAGAAAGAAGAGTTGATGAAAGATTGGTTTGAATGCAATTAGCACATGAGGAAATTAATGGGATAAAGAAATAGTTGCAGCGGGGATATGATGGTTAAATCAATTGATATTAAAATGTTTATTTAGAGAAAACGTATATTAAGGGTGTCGTGGAAATTGAGGATTGGGGAAGCAGAAGAAATTGGGTCATTGAGAAAATGCGGAAGAAATGGTTTTTCTACTCCCTTCCCTTTTTAAAAAGTCCATTTTTCAAATTTAATAGGAGCAGTAAAAAATTGTCAGCTATTTATAATCTAAAAGTTAAGAGTTCAACTTTTCCAAAACCAAATGCTAGCTACGTATATTTTGGATGTATTTCAAATTTAACAATTATTTATGTTTATTACTGGTATGGAATCCATTTTTTTAGCATATTCACATTTACTTATAAAAATCAAAAAATACGTTTTTCTTATTTACCCTTTATTTACCCACACATCCAACGCAATATGCGCATCTCTGCCACACTCATCTTTTGGATGTGACCTTGTTTCACCGCCCAACACTCTACGCCATACAGCAATGCAGACTAATTGTTGTCCTATAAAATTTACCCTTCAGTCTGATCGGCATACCTCTATCACATAGAAATCCTAACGCACTCTTCCACTTGATCCACCCTGTTCTAATTCTATGGGATACATCTCTATCTAGCTCATCGTCCTTCTGAATTATGGAGCCCAAGTAACGGAACATATCATTGACCGGTATCTCCTTACCATCTAGAGTAATTCCACTATTACCATTGCTTCTACCCCCACCAAACTTACACTCCATGTACTCTATCTTGCTCCGACTTAGTCTGAAACTCTTGTTATCTAATGTTTGTCGCCATACTTCCAACTTTGCTTTAAGACCTGATTGCGTCTCATCAATCAATACAATATCGTCGGCAAACATCATGCACCACGGTATTTCGTCTTGAATTGACTTCGTAAGTTCATCCATGACTATGGCAAATAAGAAAGGGCTCAGAGTTGATCCTTGGTTCACTCCGATAGTAATAGGGAACTCCGCAGTCCTCCCTACATTAGTACGAACACTTGTAGTACAATCCTCATACATATCCATGATGATGCTGATATACTTGTGTGATATGCCTTTTCTAGTTAAGGCCCACCAAAGAACTTCTCGAGGTACCCTATCATAAGCCTTTTCTAAGTCAATGAACACCAAATGCATATCCTTGTGAGCGTCTCTATACTTCTCCATAAGCTGCCGAAGAAGGTGAATGGCCTCAGTTGTTGAGCGACCATGCATAAAACCGAATTGATTCTCTTAAATCTTCACAGTTCTTCGGAGTCTTTGCTCAATCACTCGCTCCCAAAGTTTCATGGCCCATTCTTGTACATCACCTTTATTCTTGAATAGTTGGCACATTCTTGTACATCACCTTTATTCTTGAATAAGGGGATAAGAGTACTCTTCCTCCAACTCGTTGGCATCTTGTTGTTTCTCCAAATCATGTTGAAGAAACTTGTTAACCACTCAACGTCTCTCTCTCCCAAACTTCTCCAAGCCTCGATCGGTATGTCATCTGGTCCCACTGCTTTCTTCTGCCTCGTCTTCCTCAGAGCCTCCTTAACTCCCGTTGTTTGGATTCTTCTCACAAAATCACGATTTACCATACAATCTGGTATGGTCAAATCACTGATATCTTGCGTTTTGTTCCCGTTGAAAAGTGTATCAAAGTAAGACATCCACCTCTCTTTTATCTCCCCGTCCTCCATTAGTACCATTTGATCGACATCCTTCACACACTTAACTTTTCCTATATCTTGAGTCATACGGTCATGAAGACGAGCAAGTCTGTAAATGTCTTTTTCTCCTTCCATAGAGTCCAATTTTGCATACAATTCCTTGTTCACTTTTCCTCTTGCTTCCTTTACAGCTTTCTTTGCTCTTCTTCTAGCCTCCTTGTACTCCTCTATGTTCTCGTCGCTCCAACTTTTGCCCAATTTCTTATAGCATTCCCTTTTGATCCTTATTGCTTGTTTCACCTCATCATTCCACCAAGATGTGTCCTTTTTTGGTGGTAGGCATCCTTTAGATTCTCCAAGTATCTCTTTCGCCACTTTGTTAAAGGTGGGCTTCTTTGATAACCACACATCATCCACATGTGTGTCATTATCAATGGACCAAACATCTTCCTCCAACATTTTCTGTGTAAAAGATTATTGGAGATTCTCCTCTAGCTTCCACCACTTTATCTTTGGCTCCCCTTGTACCTTAATCTTCCTTCTCATTTTACCTTGAAAATCAAGCACAAGCATCCTTTGTTGAGTGACAGCACTCTCACCTAGGATAACCTTACAATCAGTGTAGTTAGTTCTCCAAGTCATCCATACCAAAAAGTAGTCAATTTGGGTACTATTAGCTCCACTTCTATAGGTCACAAGGTGAGAGTCTCTTTTCTTGAACCAAGTGTTCATCACAGCCAACTCATATGTCGAGGCAAAATCCATAATGTTCTTCCCCGCTTCATTTCTAGTGCCAAAACCATGTCCGCCATGGATACTCTCAAAACCATCACGACTCGGGCCCACATGCCCGTTGAGGTCGCCTCCTATGAACAGCTTCTCTCCCCTTGGCACTCGTCGCACCACCTCCTCAAGATCCTCCCAAAATTGTTGAGTGATATATGCATCCAATCTCACTTGTGGTGCATCGGCACTTACCACTGACACGATCTCATCTCCTATTATCAACTTAATAATGCTCATGATGCGGTCGTTCTTCCTGAAGACTTCCACCACTCCCTTGACATAATCCTGTGCCACCATAATGTCTACTCCATTTCTGTTCCTTTCTCTCCCCGAATACCCTCAACTTAAAACCTCCGGGGTTGATCTCATGTGTCTTTTCTCCAACCCACTTAGTTTCTTGCATGCACATTATGCTGACATTCCTCTTTTTCATAACATCAGTTATCTCAAATGATCTTCCCGTAAGCGAGCAAACATTCCATGTCCCAAAACGCAATCTAGCACCCTGCCTTTTCTTCTTCACACCACATTGACTCCCACTGTGCCCTTGCATATTTGACATCATCCCCGGACATTGGAGTGACGCGTCACTTCCGGGCAAGGACCTAACAGCCTTAGCATTCTTATCACTACACCCAGGTCTATAAAGTGTAGCGCGCCCTTACATATTTGACACCACCCCAGGCGGAGGGATGACGCGTCGCTTACGGTCAGACCAAGCAATACTGTTGGCTGTCACCCGCCTACCACAGCACCCTCCTCCTTTACACATACATGACTGTAAATAAAAATTATTTTTGGCTAAACTCTAACTATGTTAAGCGCTATTAATATCTAGTGAGGGTGTTTTTTTAAGATAATTCAAATATGACCCAAATGTTTAAATTTTGTTTTTTTTTTACCCAAATGTTTAATTTTTATATGTGATTTCTATAATACTTCACAAAGGTTTCGGTCTATAAAACTTAATAAATATGTTACTGGATAAACTTAATAAGATAAATAAAAAAGGATAACACAAAATAAAATAAGTGGAACATATGGAATAACAATAGTCCACCACCATCCAAACATTTTAATTTGTTAGGAGTGGTGATCCTACAAGTTTGATGTTTAACTTCTCCAATTTTTCGTCCTATAATCTTTTTAACACTAGTTATCATCGCTGTCCAATATTCAATACTTGGATTATTGGTTAACAAAGATAGATTTTCACATTGAACGTGAATCATTCGAATAATAATATAAAAGTAGGACTTCAATCTTTCATAGAAGTAAGAAAACCCGAGTTAACAAGAAAACCCTTGAAGAAAAAACTGATCTCCTTATTGATAATTAAAATTATAAAACAAAATACTAAAACAAACTTAATAATAAAAACTAATATTCGGCGATAGTATGATGGCACCAAATCTGGTGCACGATGGCATCCACTCTGACGCTATCACCGCCATCTCCAGCGACACCAGCACTCTCAGACGAGTCCTCATCCGACGCTGCCGTGTTCTCCACCACTGCCATCATCTTCATCATTGTCACCCTCTGGTGCCGCCAAGTCTTTCATGGTCTTTACATCCTCTGCTGCCACCGCATCTGAAATTGCCATCATCAAACACCGCATCTAAAACAGCCATCGCCAGTGACCTAATCCGGCACGGTCGCGGCAGACACCTTATATGGTGTCTAGTTTGATTGGTGCGAAATGGCAAATCAAAAACCCTTCCAGTTCCAGAGTTTCAGTCTAGTTTCCATTCCATGAGACCATTTGGAACTTGTTCTAATGAAGTTATTTTTTAATTTTTTTCTTGCTCAAGAAATACTCCGTACTTGATAGTTGATACTCTATTATTTACAACTCTGATACACATTTCCAGCTACTTTACTAGTTTAGCAAACAAAATGATTTGTCTGCAAATATTAATAATATTGAGGGCAAAGTTAACAATGTCATCTTCTTCTACCATAATACAACCCACCGCCAGAGTGTTGCAGATAGCGATGACGTGGCCCACCATTCCATGCATTGCCACGACTTGAGCCTCTACCACTGCCACTGCCGCTTTGAGACCAGCTCTGATGTTGGTTCCCATGGACCCCACTAACAAGCTCCTCTTCCTCTCTGTCATTATATTCCAAGACCAGCCTCTTGATGTCTTGTTTCTCTTCAAGCTCGGCTGCTTCTTTCTGCTTCGAGCTCTGTATGATGGAGCAATCACGGGGGATGTACATCTGTTTTGTCTGTTGTTTGTTTCCCCGTTTCACAAGGACCTTAACCCTGACCTCTTTTCCTGCTCCAGCTTCATCGTCCACCAATGTCTCATCTTCTTCATCCTTGGCTGTGGGCCCCTCAAATGCATTCATTGGTATTACCATGTTGATTGTCGGTCTTGCACGCAGCTCCAGTTTTCGTGAATCTAAACTCTCCTGCAGTAAAGCCCTGAGCTCACGTTCGAAGTCAGCCTCCTCCTGGGGATCCACTTCAGCAACCTTTGATGACCTAACATGTACCTCATCTTCTTCATCTGAAGCCGGTGGCCTGCCCACATCATTATACTCGTCATCGGTCTCCGACACATCATCATGATTCTCTTCGTCAAATTCATCATCATCACGCCCCCGATGCTCACTGTCTGAATCACTTTCACTATCTCCCGGAATAATATCCTCATGTGGTTCACCATTTTCTTCAATAATTTTATTTGCAAGCTTTTGTCCTCCATCGACTGGGTTTTCAAGTTTTGTATCAAGATGCTTTTCAGCATTAGCCTTTTCAGTTGAAACCGCTTGTTCATGTTCATCGAGTTCAAGGATTGCCGCATTGACTTCATCAATCGAGGCATATCGAATCATTTTGGGGCGCAATTCAGCAAACAAGTCCTACAAAATGCATATATAATTTTCAAAAACGTATACATCTTAAGCTTCCTTCATTGTGCAAGATAAATCAGACAATGGTTAAAAAATCACAAGTCAAATATGGTAAAAAAGAAAATGGAAATTTGAAAATGACCTGCAAATCAAACTCGATATCCAGGGGCAACATTCCTTTGCTCAATATGTATCTTTGGAAATGAATGAGGAACCGATCGAGTTTCCTCTTTGAAGAACCTCGATCAAAGTAGTGTCCACAGGTTTCAAGAAGAGTAATGACCATTCTGATACGGAAACAATCCTCCAGCGGATCCAGTTTGTCTTGCTGGTGCCATCATATGAATGTGAGTCATCAAAAGCAGAATGGATGTATGACAATGATTCATGTTACCCCGTTTGTCCCATAATTAATTTGCCACTTTGATTTTCCCGTCTTCAAGTCGATCTTGACTATTATTGTTTATAATCATATACTTATATATCTATAATTATTGTTTCAGTATTATATATGTAAACATATTTTTTTTTAAATTTTTTTTTTATTTTTTTTTTACTCCAGGGGGCTTCTGGGAGAGGGGGGCTGGGGGGAGCCTGAAGTAATCTAGGCTGAAACTCACTCCATTGAGTTTTGAACCCGAGACCTCCCGTAAGGGAGTGTGAGTCGGCGACCAGCTGGGCTGGACCGCTTCCTCTATATATATAAACATAGGGAAAATGGAAATTAATAATCCAACCTTTTAGCGATCTTCTTTCAATAATCCCACCTTTTGATTATTCATGAATAATCCAACTTTTGCACCCCATCTTCATTTGTTGGTCCCTTATCGGTTAATGACTTGCTATTCCAAGTTATTTTCTTATCTTTGCAAAATATTATCTTTGTGAAAGATGAGATTTATGGTATAATGATTTGCAAAGATAAGAAAATAGCTTGGAATAGCAGGTCATCAACCGGTCAGGGACCAGTGAATGAAGATGAGGTGCAAAGGTTGGATTATTCATGAATAATCAAAAAGTGGGATTATTGAAAGAAGACCGCTAAAAGGTTGGATTATTAGTTTCCATTTTCCCTATAAACATATTGTTCAAAAGTTTATTAATTTTAGTTTTTAATTATGATGGTCTGAGTTAACAAAGGTTGACTCCGGAAATCAAAATAGCAACTTTATTTTGGGTGATGGATGGAATAACAAAAAGTTCTTCTAGAAAGTAAAATTTGCCCAAAAGATACTCTAGAAAATATTTCCATGCCATACTGAAATCATAGGGCTAAAATAGCTTGGAAGAAAAAGGAGAGTAAATACAGCATGATTTGCAGTCCAACTAAGACTTTACAAATCAAATACTACCTCCATCTATAAATGATCTTCCTCTCCTTTTCTGTCTGTCTCCAAAAGTTCTTTCACTTTCCATTTTTAGTAAAAATGTGCAGTTAACTTTCCTTTTTTTCTACACTTTACTACTTAATCCACTCTCCACTAGGATGACCCACATTCCTAGAACCGTGCCAAACCTAATGTGGGAAAACAAATGGTGACAGGAGTACAGTTTATCTCTACTACACTAACTAGCATTTCAAAAGCATTACTGAATTATACACATTGGTGGGTATGGGAAAAAATGAGGATTGAGGGTAATTATAATTGGAACTGCTAAGTAAATATGCAAGAGTAGATGTGGATCCATACCTCTGCTGTTCCATGGCCAAAAACTAGAATCAGATAGAGTGTATCAAAAATGACCGAAGAGTCTATAATTTCATAGTTATACAGCTCTCCTAAAAACCGCATGTGAGCAATGCGCCTTTGTTGCATCCCATAGTCATTCAACTCTAACCCCACTCTGATCTCCTCTAACACCTATAAGTACAACTTTTTCCATCAGTTTTCAAGTACAACATTTATCAAAATCAAGTTTTTCATATCCTGCCATGCGCACAACTTAATGAATGACACTGATTTTGTACTACAAAAGTTTTTTACATGAGAACCAAGCACAGTATTATCAGTAAACAGTCACCAGAAAAACAAATTCATAGTATTTGTGAAGAGTAAACCACTTAGAACATTGAAATAACCTCAGTGAAATAAAACAGAAGAAAATTACGGAAAATCATAGTGACTTAGCATTTTTCTTGGGTCCTCAAGAAAACCAGGGAAGGAGGTAAATGCAAAGAAAAGTTACACTCTTATGTTTGGCTTTACTTCAGAAAATGCAAGGGATGAAAATGATTAATGTTTTTTAAATTTAGTAATCGAAGACTTTATACATAATAGAATCAATAAATAAAACATTACTGAACAAATATACTCTGTATAAAATACATTTATGATTTATCGAGTCTGAATAGATGTTAATTTCCCCCAGCTTTTTATTTCCATTGCAATTTCTTTATTATAGCCAGTGGGATCTTATGGGAGCCTCGAATGGGTAGTAATAAATTAAACATAGAAAGGTTAACATAGGATACAACACTTAACCTCATCAACAACCGCAACAGCAAAATCGTCATGATACCGGCTCAAACCAGCAGTAAGAGAAGCAATCAGGTGAATCTGACCATACTTTCCCCTATGCACCTTCAGAAAGCACTTCAAAAGGTATGACTCACATTCACTCCACGGAAGTTTCCGAAGTTGTCTTAGTACATGCTCTATGGAAGTTTTATCTAGATCCGAGAAAAGGAGTTTTCTTATATACTGCAAAAGCTCTCCAAATGAAAAATGTTAATTATAAACTTGCCAAGTAGCCAGTACAGATTGCAAAAAGTTTGAAACTTGAGTGTATAAGTTAATCAACTATACCTGATGCAAAGGAGGGCGAACCTTAGATACTCGTGCAGACCTTTCAGGAGGCTTGCACAAGTAATATGCATTCTCCACTAAAGTGATGTGCCGAGGATCCAAATTTTTAACGTTCTTCAAGCGCATCAGTATATCTAGCATGTTAGCCATGCGGATTGTGGTCTCAGGGGAACGGTAGAGAAAACGACCACATGTTTCCAGAAGATTGCAAGCAATGTCGATATTGTGATGTGTGAAATCATCCAAACAAGTCTGGAGGGGATATATAACAACTCTTCTGTCAGTTATGTGAAGGAGCTAGCAATAATGAAGATAATACTATCTAAACGTGACTTCAAAATTTAACTTTGAACCCTATTTATGGAAAACAATACACCAACAAACAGACAGTATGGACGTGTATCTAATATCTACAAAGAAATAACAGGATGTATTTGGGCATGCCCCTAGAAAAGGAAAATAAGGGAGTGAGAGTGCAAAAAGTTGCCGGAAGCGAGGACCTTTAGACAACTGAAAACGAGACCAGAAGCTGCAATTTTGAACTTGCAGAGTTCTCCAATAAAACGAATGTTCTTTATTTTGCTTTCAATGTTTATTTGATCCTGCACATGATAAGCAACACATTTAGAGCATTCAAGATTGCTATGCATTGGTGTCTATTAAAGCAGTTCACAACGTCGTTACCTTCTTATTTATCAAACTGTTGAACTCTTCCTCTAACAACTGTAAAAGCATCGAAGGCACATCCTTCATGCAAGTTGACAGAGTAGCAACCATACGAGAATAGTATGGCAACAATTCGAGAGAAGTTCTCGGAACATTGTACAGAGCCCTCACAAGCTTCTTTCTGTTAGATTTAGAATTCAGGTAGCAAAATTCAACCTGTATAAATTAAAAAGCAACACAAAATAGGAATGAAGTCAGAAGCAAGGGACAGACTCAGCAATCAAATGAAACATAAAAATGTATGATTAAACACTGAGCAAAACATTCACTAACAGTTAGCTGGTCTATCAAATCACGGCTCACACAACCCGGAAGCCTCTGCAATAAACCTTCTAAATTGGCCCCTTCAAGACCTTTAACTTTATCCTTTTCACTATCTACTTTTCTTTCTGACTCCTTTTCTTTCCCTTTATCTTTGTCTGCTTCCTTGTTCTTTTCTTTATCTTTTTCATCTTTATCCTTAATTATATCACTCTTATCCTCTGCAATCACTCCAGAATCTTGAGAACACTCTGCACTGTTTTTTGTAGATATCTGGCTCTGACCTTGATCTGAATCTGATGTCAAATCCTTCGCAGTATAAGGAAAAAGATTAAAATTTCCACATTTGAATAAATGCATACATAATCAAATACAAAAATTACATTATTTCATAAAACCAGTCAGTCAACATGAAGAAGAATTGAAAAAAATGAAAGTGCACAGTATTATTGTTCAGTCCTCCAAAACAAGAAAAGTGCACAGTATATGTGTGAAACCCCTATTGGGATATATTACATATGTTAGGAATGGAGGAAGTAATTTTTAAAATCTTAGAGCAAAGAAATGACAGAGATTCTTAATGAGCACCCTTAGTTCTCAAATTTGAACATTAGTTTTGGGGTTTCTTGAGTACATTAACACTATGTAAGCATAACAAACCAATAAATTTAATATGCATAAGTAGACCCAACTGCTTACAGTGAGTTGTTCTTGAGCCTTTGGAGCTTGCTCACTCAATTTTGATTCAGTTTCTCCCAATAAGACAGCAGGGACAAATGCCCTAGAAAAAAATATCCATGTGGCTCATGTGATGAAAAGCACTACCTGAGGAACCACATACGGCATACCAAATTTTTGTGTGAATACTTCCAATGGAAAAAAAACCTGAGATCTGGGAGACACTCGTAGAAAGCCCTTGTATCCTCATCGTCCCACAGGGCTTCAATGGAAGAATCTTTAACACCACCACCTGGAGATGATATGTCTTCCACTGATGTTACCCTGGTTGTATGACCATCCTCGGGCATCACAGGAGGTTGCATGTCCAGTGATTCTGATAAACTGCAACATTGTACATAACAGAAATTAAACCAATAGCATATCTATGGAAAATGTGTAGAAGCCTATGCGTAACTTAAAAATGAGAAAATATTCCATAAGAGTGACAAGTAGAAGAGTGTTCCATGAAATGAATACATGAAAAAATGAAAAGCACAAGGAGCTGAAAATGAGAAAAAGCTCCAACTATAGCTAGATCCCCCTGATAGCAAATTTTATGGAATCTCACATTACTTACGAATATAGGAAGGGGTACAAGGGAATGTGAGCAAAAGTGAACTAATAGCCATTTTTTGGAGTCTCACATTACATTCTGGAAACTTAGAAGTGTGTGCGTGAAATGAATACAGGAAAAATGAAAAATGCAAGGAGCTGAAAATCAGAAAAAGGTCCAACTTTAGGTCTTTAGCGCAGGAGGGTGTTTGGATCGTGTTATCAGATCCCCTGATAGCACAATTTCATGATACAAGGGAATTGAGCAAAAGTGAACTAAAAGTCATATTTTGGAATCTCACATTACATTCTGGAATCTTGTGTTCACATGTGAACCGAACATCACCATATGATATTACCTTAGGTAATGTGAGATTCCTAAATACAAAATATGAAGCAAACATCTAAGTCTCATAAGGCAGTATCCTATATTTATAGAAATTGAATCAGCACGAAATTTTTCATTCGTCACAAAAAGAATAGTCTACTCAAACCAAAAGTAATTATAATCCATTCAAGAACTTTTAAAATTTCTGCAACATACAGACCAGAAATAGAGTACGTGTAGTTCCACAGCTAAATATCAGCATTCATATGCATATACAACCTACCCGGCAAGTAACACATTCATTTTGCAAAATATGATACTGTTCAACAATACTATTCATGTTATACATTTCGATTGAGTATACAATGTCAACTGATTAGCTATAGCCTTTATATCAACCCTCACTTGAACAAGAAATGGGCTTTATATCTTGAAGAGAAAAAATTGTAAGCAGCCTAGCATTTGCACTACGTTACAATTGATGCCTAGACCCCAAACCACTGAATGGAATATTGGTGGCAGCCTCCTACCATGAGGTGACTTAAGTACTTCAATAGGTTTACATGAAAAGTTTGGAATACAAGATTATCAAGTAACTTACGCTGAGACACCACGGTACAGCTGGTCATAAGCTTTCCGCAGCTTTTCATATGAGGATGCACTTTCCTCGTTGAGTTCACCTTTAGCAGCCAAAATTTTTGCATTTTCATGCTCCATTTGACGAAGCAACTGTTATTGGATTTAAGTGGGGGAAACATGTCCATCAATTATAACAATAATATATGACGGTGAATTTTATTGGGGAATAAAAGCAACAACAACCAAGCCTTAATCCCAAAAGATTTTGGGGTAGGGTAACATGAATCGATACATGATATCGCTCCCAAAAGGAAAAGAAAGATAAGAAAGATAAAAAGGTGAGCTAGCACCAGAAAGTATTTTAAAAAAAAATCAACCCTTACAGCATGCTCTGACCGAAGAAGTTCAACAGCTGCATCATAATATGTTTGAAATGCCTTTCTGAAGATCCTTTTCAACTCTGTTGTGACACTGAGGCCTTTGAAAAACTGCAACATATTAACCGAAAATGAAATTATGACTAAACACGGATTATGGTGTTAGATAATGAGAACCCACAAGTCGAAAACACTGTGATTTTACTAAAAGCAGAAAGCCCATATTTGGAATAACAGAATTCATAATCAGACGAAAGTGGGCTACTTATCCAAGAACTAACTCATTATTTCAATGGGAGCGGCAGCAAACTGACATCACTTTGGTTATGCTTCTCTACTTTTAACAGTCCAAAATGCTGCCAACTCAAATGCTTGCCAACTTAAAAATCATTGACACAACAATTTTGAGCAATCAAATAGAGTTCAGCCTTGGCATGCCGCATGTCACATGGACCACACAAGTTATTATAAAACATTAGAACAGCAGAAAATTTAGAAAGCAATTTACTCTGGTATGTGCAACTCAGGTTGCACAATGCAAAAATATGACACTTTTGCCTCCAATAAATCATATTTCTTTCCCTCTTCTAACAGAAACAACTCTCATATATCAAAACGAGATAACCGGAGTTTATGGTGGTGCAACTACTACTGTTTTTATGCTCAGTTTTTGGAAATCAACTAAAAAAGAAAGGCTCAAAGTGTATTAATAATAATCTATAGTGAACTTCTGCATATAAAGAAAGCTTAATGCACAACTCTACTACGAAGTTCACTTGAAAGGATTCACCTCTTCAAAAATATCTTGATCTGTCAGTTGAAGACCAAGAAGATATCTCCCTTGCCGAGCAAAACTTGTAAGAAGGGACAAATTTGTCTGTGTAGCATCACGGTCTTTCAGGTGCTCTATGCTAGTTAGATCCTTAATAATGTTCACAAATATGCTACAATCTTCTATAACTCCGACAAAGTAAAGTTCCAAGAGAAGTTTCAATGTGCTGCGCTTCTTTATAGCCCTTGCATTCCTGTCCAGTTCTAAGTCATCGGCAGATTTCCCAGGAAAGAACACTTTCATGAGGCCTTGAACTAGGCTTGGTGAAAAATCTGTGTACCGCTGATGTAACAAAGAGCAGATCTAGAAGGAAAAAATATTAGTTAAATGACAAGGCAAATAATTACAGAAAGGCGAACAAAAAAACATATTATTTCCCTTTTCACAATGAAAGCATTTCATAGTTTCAGGAGCATCTCCCAGTCAAGAACTGAAGAATAGTGATCCCATCTATATCGGTTCTTCAAAAGAGTGAAAGACCACTTGAATAACAGCCGAAAATGTAGAGTATATAATAGTCCTATGCAATGGGAAGCCATCAGGGTTTTGGCATGTTACTTCCAAAAGATAATTCAGTTACAGGGTTTGGTTAATAATGTGCTTTCATTGTTTGGTTTGACAGAAAAATTAATGCTGAAGCTCCGTATCAGCAATCAAAGAGAAAATCACCAAAATGTAGATGAAGAAAGCCATGGTAGACTAAGCAGTATTCAGGGTTTGCTAATGTTCCTGAATATCAGATTTATAGAGTACAGAAAGAGATAACCCTGAGCCTTGAATGCCTCATAAACATTAGATATCTGAGGATAGAAAAGATTATTAATTGCATCGAACCTAGAGTGGTATAAATGACTAAATAGACTTCAAAATATTAGCACCTTGTTTCCATTGGGAAATTTGTGAGAGAAGAAAAATAATGTTATCAGAAACAGTTACGCTAAATCTCAGTCCATGATACTTCTGCAATATAAAGCTCAAGACAATAACTACCTGAACAGTAGCTTGTATGTCAACTGATCGAAGTTTGGCATCACAAATAGCAGAAACTGCTTCACTAACAAATTTACTTAAGTTGACGCTTCGCAGTTCATCCATTAAACCTTCTTTCAGCTCTTCATTAATCAGTTTAAGTTTCTTAATGACTGCAGTATTACGTTTAATGCTGGAATCCAGTGTCCTGAGGAAACCTGAGTCTGAAATGAAGAACCAACAGATAAGCAGTCATGTGAAAAACATATCGTATAGTAAAATAATCACCTGTTTGGCTATTTCTTAATTACCCAAGATAGATTTCTCACTAAAAAGAGAATGAGATCCCTCATCCCTGGCAGTTAATAGAATTGGAACAAAAGAGTCAGCATACAGAGATTCCTAATTGGTGGATGGAAGAAAAAAACAAATGAAGATAATTGATGAATGACTGCTATGAGAACATCTAGAGTTAGTAATGTACGATTCAGTTAGATACATATCATGATAGGCCACAAAAAATTTAGTGCTAGCGATGCAGATTGTGGACTGAATAAAAATGGATTTGTATCCAAGTTGTTTGCAGTGTTTCATAATGAGACACAAGAAGTCAAGAACCGTAGTGCAACGACAGAATCATATGATTCAATTTGTAAGTAGCGTTAGTCTGACTCCGGGTCAGGTCGCACAACCCATTTCTTAAAAATCCCTTCTAGGACTTTTTGTGTAGCATTTTTCCTAAAATGTGAGGTAAGTTTCCAATTGTCAACAACAGTCTTTACAAAGTCTAGATACATTTTCAACTCCTAATCCATATCTCTGATTCACGCTTTGCCTCTCTGTTTTGTCTCAGACTCTCAGTCTTTTCTTCTCCTTCTGATCTGCTCTGGTCTTATCCTCCTCCTGCAGCATAAACTACATCTCTCACCGTGATTCTTCATCACAATGGGTAATGCTTAAAATGATATAACATGGATTTGTATCCAAGTTGTTTGCAGTGTTTCATAATGAGACACGAGAAGTCAAGAACCGTAGTACAACGACAGAATCGTATGATTCAATTTGTAAGTAGCGTTAGTCTGACTCCGGGTCAGGTCGCACAACCCATTTCATAAAAAAATCCTTCTAGGACTTTTTGCGTAGCATTTTTCCTAAAATGTGAGGTAAGTTTCCAATTGTCAACAACAGTCTTTACAAAGTCTAGATACATTTTCAACTCCTAATCCATATCTTTGAGTAGCGCTTTGCCTCTCTGTTTTGTCTCAGACTCTCAGTCTTTTCTTCTCCTTCTGATCTGCTCTGGTCTTATCCTCCTCCTGCAGCATAAACTACATCTCTCACCGTGATTCTTCATCACAATGGGTAATGCTTAAAATGATATAACATGGAGACATTGTGAAAGTTAATCCCCACAGGCCTTTAGTAAAATTCATTGTTCTCATACTTGCTTGGTTGGAGTTGCAAGAATGAAGCATCACCTTGATGGAACAAAGGTGCACATTCGTGTTTTTGAAGACGCTAGACGAAAAAGAGGATGCCAAGGAAGGAAATTTGGGTAACTGTTTGGCAGAAACTGAGAAGGAGGTATCTGTGTAAGTGCTCACTACTTCACTAGTTAATGAGTTACTTATAGTATGTTCCTAACTGCATGCAACCGTGTGCAATAATATAAGCAACCTGGCCTTTCAGGGTGGAAATTGTTGTGGCGGAGAGCCGTCTTTGCCTCGATAGATTTCTTGAATTCCTCAAGGCGGGTAATGGTTTCCTGAATTGTCATAAATATGTGCATGTAAAATATATTAATAAACAGACATTAGGTCAAATCAGATTCTAATATCTACACTCTACACAGTAAGATTAGTAAGACAAGTAATTGATATACCCCTCCATCCCGTTGGAGTTTGACCAGTTTGACCGGCATGTGAAATAAGGAAGTAAAAATTGTGTGGTTGTTGTCCATAGGAGAGAGAAATGATATAAAAACACATTAGTTAGCTACATTAAAGGGAAAGTGGCAAAGTTTTTGGAATAACCAAAAAGGAAAAGTTGGCAAAGTCTGGTGGGATGGAGGTAGTACAAGAAAATCCCAGATCCCATATTTCACAAAATGGTGGGAGGGTGTTTGGAATTATACCTCATCTTCATGTTTCTCTTGGGGTCCACCTGCAACATGACATTCATCCTCTGCATTTTCCATCTTTCTCTATACTAGCAACAATTTTCTAACAAATATAAAAATTAAACTTAAATATTAAATAGTTTCTCTTTACAAACCATGTCAGGTACCTCATAATAAAGCACCACAAACACTTATAAATTTATCTACATATAATAAGGAAGTGTGTTGTCCCAATTTTCCCGCCAAAACTGCCTACCTAGCTGAATTAAGAGTCACATAGATAAATGTACTCTTTACGGGCAGGAGTAGCTCAGAACCTTGCCATAAGGCCTTGACGGTCTCTAGCTTTTTTTTGCTATATGTGTCACAATTTTATCATTCACTTTAGTTTTTAGTCTTCGTTTGTTTTCTGCAAAATGTACATTGGTAGGGGGGGCTGTGCAGAGTACTGCAAAAGATGAACGTTGGAGTAGCTCTTTTGTGATTCCCAATTACAAAACCCAAACTATATCAAACCCAAAGAACAGAGATGTGAAAAAGGGTCATGCTCTCAGCCTCACACCCAGTAAACTGAACTAAGAATGTAAACTTTTTCCACACAAGCATTCCAGCATTGCAAGAAATATCTTTTGACAAAGCAACAACAAAACAAAATTGCAGAATTCTTAATAAAATACCAAGATAATATTAAAAATAAATATGAGCATTTGATGTTATTAGATACTATAGATGGTAAAAAACTGATTAAGACGTAGTCTAAAAAACATAATATACACAGCTGAAACAGTCTTTTCATTACTGTAGATAGAATTTATAAAATAGTAAAATTGAGAATATGTATGTGTGTGTGTATAACAAAGCGAATGCTTACATGAAACGCAAAAATAAGATCTAGGTAGTCTCTCATACACATCTAGGGAAGATACCGGGATTGTAAAGTATTGCTTCATATATGGAATTTAGACTATCTAAAATTCATTACTGATTAAAAAATGAAAGCACCTAATGCTATGTTTCAATGAGGTGCTGAAGGGTGTTAGTAACAAGTGTTAGGAAGTGTAGGCACGGGTAAGGAAGGAAGGTAAGTGTATATGTGAAGTATAAGTTAACTTTGTTTGGAAGAACTACAAAATGTTATTTTAGTAAAGGAAGTGTTTTGCCCTTCAAATTAGAAATATATCCTACAGAAGTGTTTGGCCGGTCAATCCGGTCATGGAAACTACTACAGAAGCCTAGCAACTCCCAAAAACAAATTAAAGATTTCAGAAATTCAATTCAACTCAACAAATAGAGTGGTGAAATGATATAAACTGAAGTAATGAATAAAGTCACTTTTTTAACTTGGACTGTGTGTGTGTGTGTGTTGAAATGGGCACTAGATCCTTTGGGTTAGCCCCAAATCCGGTGATTATCAAATGTGTTGGTTTCTACTGTGATAAGTTCTCTCCCAACAGCCCATACAATTCAACAACCTTGGCAGACGCGTGGATGCAGGGTGTCCATACAAGCCGGAAAATAAATGAGATGAGATATGAGAGAACTAACCTGGATGATGTGAGATTAGGGCAGGTGAAAGACTGGATGATTGTGCGGCAGATGAGAAGTGCGCAGATGTTGAAGGAGTGGAGGGTTATACTTGTTTTCACGTAAATGAGAATTACCTTAGTCCTGAGAGGTCGCTCCAATGGAGGAGGCGGAGGTGGAGGCCGCAGATGTGGTGGACGGAGGCGGTGTGTATGGAGGTAGGGCGACGGAGGTGGAAACCGTGCACGGAGGTGGTGGTTATGGAGGCCGGGCACCGCTTTAATGGAGGAAAGGTGGTGGGCTGGTGGCGGGAGATTGTTCTAACGGGAGGAGGACGGCGGACAAAGAAGAGCAAGGGACTGGGTAAAGACGGGAAAGCAGCGGACAAGGAAGAAAGAGAAAGAAAGAGAAAAGAAAAAGGGGAAAGTAAAATCAAAAAATAATAAAAAAGAAAAAAATAATTTAAATATCTCAAACTTTGAATGAGCATAATATACATATCCCAAATTTATATGTAGTATAAAAATATATGTTAGCATCATGATCATACGCCGTATGTTTTTTCATGGATGTAATTTTATCGAATTAAGTACATAAATTAAAATACACAAAACATTTATGAGGACGCAATGAAAATTAAATTTTATCGGATATTAATTATTCAATAAATTTGTATTTGTAAAAATCATACAATTATGTGGGAAAATAACTTTTTATAAAAGTCCGGGGTATATATGTTACATATACAAGTTTGTGATACTGATATCGCACCACATTAAAGTTTGAGGTATTTAAATTGTTTTCTCTTAAAAAATGACAGTTGAGACTTCGTGAACTTAATTGGGTAATTACTTGTGAAAAAAGTTTATTTCATTGTTTTGTGTTACTTTGTGAACTTAATTGATACGCAAAAAGTACGTGAATTCAATTGATTCATTATGAAACGTAATTCGGTCTATTTGTCATTTTTTCAAACAAAAACTGAACAAAGAATCCGAGTTTGGACTTGACAGGGTTTGTTTTTATCTGTTTTGAATTTGGTTCGGTTTGTGACAGGGTTGAGAATAAGTGTAAAAAAAATCACATTTTTACGAGGTCAAATGATAATCACATTTGTACAGAGACGCCAATCCTGAAAGTAAATCGGTGATGTCATTGATGATGACATCTCCTTTGCAATTAAAAATCGTATTTTGACTTATATGTATCAGTGAAGGGTGGATGAACATTTTTTAAGAGGTATATGACACCTGTTTACTAAGTCCATCCTGAGTTCATGTGATTTTGTATATCTGTTCTGTTTATTTCAATAGAATAGAAAGATGCATCGATTAACTTTTAAATTTGAGAACATCTAGGTTAAAAGGGGGGATTGTCGTGTGGTGATCCAGAAAGCTGGAAGGGTAATCCGCATCATGGAATATGACAGGGAATTGAAACACGAATAGTGGAAGGGCCCTTGGAGGTGGAGCATGAAGCGAAAATCGGGGTTTCATGCAAGGATTGATTAATGTAGGTGACAACGGTTAGCAAACGTGTGTTATAGATATGATACCAGTAGTATGTCTAGACCCTGGAGGGTTAATATCACTTTGTTGGTTCTTTTAAAATAACAAGATGATTTTTGGAGACAGAGAGCGAATGAGTTTTGCTTGAAAGAAAGTGATGTTAATACTAAATTCTTTTGCATTTTGGTCAAGCGAAGGAGGTGAAAAAATAAGTTGAGAGGATTAAGAAGTTGTTCTCTTCGTCTTATTTTTATTACTTATTGTTTATTCTTATTTTATTCAGATCAGGTCAGAAAGATTCAGATCAGATCAGATCAGAAAGATTCAGATCAGATCAGAAAGATTCAGATCAGACCAGAAAGATTCAGATCATAAACATTCTGATCAGATCAGATCAGATCGGAAAGATTCAGATCAGATCAAACCAGATCAGAAACATTTAGATCAAAAAAATTTCAAACATGATTTATCGCTTATATTATTATATTAATTATTATTATTATTATTAATATTGTTATTACTATTATTATTACTATTATTATTATTATATAATTATTATTAATAATACTAATAATAATATGATAAAAAATACTAAGATATTAATAAAAATTATAATATTATAATAGTAATATAAATGTAATTATTAAGAAGACTGTTATTATTATTATTATTATTATATTATATTAATATTATTATTACAATTTTATTATAATAAAAGTAATAATAAAAGTCCGATTAATATTATTATAATAGTATATTATAATTATATGTAATTATGATTATAATTATTATTGTAATTATAATTACAATTGTAATTATAATTATAATTACTTATAATTATTATTTTAATTTTAATTATAATTATAATTTATAAATATAATTCTTATAATTATAAGTATAATTAATTATAATTGTTATAATTATAAGTATAATTAATTATAAATGTTATAATTATAAGTATAATTAATTATAATAAATATAATTATAACTATAATTATAATCATACCTAATTATTATTATAATTATAATATAATACTACGTATTATAATAATAACAATAATAATAATAATGATAATAATAATGATAATGATAATGATAATGATAATGATAATGATAATGATAATGATAATGATAATGATAATGATAATGATAATGATAATGATAATGATAATGATAATGATAATGATAATGATAATGATAATGATAATGATAATGATAATGATAATGATAATGATAATGATAATGATAATGATAATGATAATGATAATGATAATGATAATGATAATGATAATGATAATGATAATGATAATGATAATGATAATGATAATGATAATGATAATGATAATGATAATGATAATGATAATCATAATGATAATCATAATGATAATCATAATGATAATCATAATGATAAT